AGTCCGCCCACTTTGCACCGCCAACCAGAGAACTTGTAGAGAAGAGAATTCCCACTCTGTAATGTCTTCCGGGTTTCTCAAACGCTAGAGGGCGCTCCTGAGCGAGTCCAAAATAAATGAGTTGCTATGGAGCAAAATCATAGTTTATCAATGCTTAAACATTTTTAATGTAAAATAATACAATCATTTCCTGAACACAGAACAGCATAAAACATTTTAACACTGCTGTTATATTTTTAAGCACTTTTAAACTCGAGTTATAGGAGTTTAAAACGGCGCCTCATGTATGTCCATGACGTCAGTGAGCGCAAACAGCCAATAAGCTGCTCCGCTCGTCAATCAATCATCACGTTCCAGCAGTAAAGCCCGCCTTCTGCTGCCCAAAATCCTTTTGCTGTAGAAAAAAGGAAACATACAGGTGAGATTTCTTTGCTTTTTTAGTGAAATCCATCCTTCTACTTTCTAAAATGAAAGAAACGTTCTGGGCGAGAGATTAGAAACTATTTTAACTTTTTGTCTTTAGCCGCTGAGCTCCATTCACTCCCGTTCACTGAGGACTCGCTCTCGGGCGCCCTCTGCTGTTCAGCAGTCCTGTTTTTGATATAAGGGGGGAAATAGGAAGCCGCCAGGTTCCTCACAAACCGGCTGTGACACAGCTTCGCTCCTGATTTGCGCCGCATCCCAAACCACACACTTCTGTACTTCACACACTACACTAATGAGTGCACTTCTAATGGTATATGCGCTATTTTTATACACTATTTAGTGTGCTAATTGCGGTTTGGGACGTGCATTAAACTCCGCCCACTTCGCGCCACCCACGTTCCCGCCGCCTCCCGTCGCTGGACATCGCCAGCTTTCATTGAAAATGAATGACCTCCGGCCGCTTTGTCGCGTCGCGCGGCTGCCGGTGTGACTGCAGGGTAAGAACAATGACGTCACACTGTCTGACCCATCTGTGTGTTGTAGTCCAGAGTCGCAGTTCATCCGTTTTGTTCGCCAAAGACCGAACATTGGCGAGAGAAACGCTGGTAGCCGATGTCCGGTGAGGGTTAAACCTTAGCTGAGCCCGTAGTCAGGTTAGGATGGCACCAGAATTGGGAGTGGTTATGCCTCTCTTGTAAACCAGCTGAAAACTCGTGTTGAACAACTTAACTGTGACAGCATGGTAGCAAGACACAGAAGGGTCAAAGGCATCTCCAGTTCATCAGCTAAAAACAGTGCAAGAGGGCCGTCAGACCAGTATGGGTGCGTCAGATGGCAAACTGATTGTCCTCAAGGGGAAACTGAAGCCAGTCTAGAAGAGAAGAAAAAGGAAATAAAAGAGCTTTATGGTCGCGAAGGTCCTGCAGGAGCAGACAGAGGGCACCTCACGCAGCTCATGGAGGCAACATACTACCTGCAGCATAAATCCATCAATGCAAGCCCAGCACCATCAGTAGTGGAGCTGAGAAGTGGCTGGCCTCATCTCGTCACACCAAAAGAACTTTACAATCACTTCAAGCTACTTACTGACATCTCCATTCTTGAAAAAATGGATGAAGCGATTGAGGACAGAGGAAAGATGATTGTGTGGTTTTTCTGGCAAAAGCCAACAAATGAAGAAGTTAAGCAAATCTTATCAAGGTTTGATGCCATTGGATGGACCATGCTGGGCCCATGTGTTGTCCTCCTGCTAATGGCACAGAAGTCTGATGCACTGATTTTACAAGTTGATGTAAGTGTTCATTTGATTAGCAATTATGTTCGGGTATGATATAAATAATAATCTCTGTTTACAGTGTCAGTTCTGAGACCTGTGGTGTTATTTATTTCAGATTGAATCTCAAATTGTGTTAGTCTATATGTATCCTGTGTTTCAGGCCACAGCTTCTCCAGCAGATGTGGAGAGATCGGTTTCTTTACCAGATTCCCCAAGATTGACTGTTCAAGGTAGCGCACCAATGTAGTTTTGTGTTTTTTAAACTTTGTTTGGTCCAGTAAATATATTTATATCCATGATTTTTTTATTGATTTCAGGTGATGTGCTGACTTCAGTGAAGTGGATGATGGTCAGGTGGTCTTGTCTTCACATCATTCTACAATTTCACCCTGGAATACCAAGAAGAGGCCTTGTGCACTCTGGAATTTATCATTCTCAGCACTGCAGTGACACTCATGTGGTGGTGACGTGTCAGTGTGTGTTGCGCTGGTGTGAGTGGATCAGACACAGCAGTGCTGCTGTAGTTTTATATACTGTCCACTCTATTAGACACTTCTACCTTGTCAGTCCACCTTATAGATGTAAAGTCAGAGACGATAGCTCATCTGCTGCTGCACAGTTTGTGTTGGTCATCCTCTAGTCCTTCATCAGTGGTCACAGGACGCTGCCCACAGGACGCTGTTGGCTGGATGTTTTTGGTTAATAAAGGGGGCTAATAAAGAATGCAGAGAGTCTGTAATTATAGAACTACAAAGTGCTTCTATATAGAAAGTGAAGCGGATAAATTGTCAGTGTAGATACAAGTAGGCGTAATTAATGAAATGGCTGGTTGGTGTAGAATGAATAAAATGGGGATTACGGCTCTCAGTATTCACAGCAGGCCTGGACGATGGGGTGATGTAATCAGATATGGTCGGTGATTGACATGTAACCCGATGACGATGCTAAGCTGTAGCATGTATTGGTTGTGGGGGAGGCGTGATATAAATGATATTCAGGATTTTTAAAACTAGAAAATATTGGGCTAATTATTCTAGATATCACACAGGCCTTATTCACAGGTGTGAATTTATAATTTTGTTTTTTTTTCTTTTCAGCAACCTCATGAATTGGTTTTGTGGAGTGGTGTTTCACTCTAATGTAAAAATTCTGAAATGTTCTTGTTTAGTTGAGAACGTGGTAGTCGACCTTGCATTTTAAAGCTGCAATTCATCATTTATTTTTAGAAAGATATTGGAGAGCAATCATGATGTTGGAAGAGTGGATCAAAATACTGAAAATATCATATGTCATGGTAGCGATCTTAACATTTCTGTCTGAGAAATCCAGCTCTCTGTTTGTCATCATGTTTTCTGTTAGAGCTTTACAGAATTTATCCTAACACTGAGTACACAACAGGAGTTGTTTTCTTTTCTGTGTTTTCAGTGTGTTCACAGTGTTTTAACTGTTGTTTAAAAAGTACAGCTTCAAAGTAGCATCAAAGCATTGCAGCTATATATTATAATATTTCTTTTCTTTTTTTGTGTGATTTTCCAGGTGCTTTGTGGAGATCAACCCAACCACTGGCTCCAAGAACTCTGCTGAGAAAGCTGTCACCAAAAAAGTGGAAAGGTAGTGGAGAAGAAGAAACACTCCATGAATGCCAACGTTTGTAGCCTTCCAAGAAATTTAATGGCTTTTAACTGGCTGTGCATGTAAGTGTAATGGGAATGTTGGGACCACAGCAAAATAGTCCTCCATGTCCATAACAGTGTTTATGGATGTAGGTTGACTTGCGTGGTGAGGTTCATGAATGAGTTTTATATGTTTCTAAGGTCTGGGTTTTATATGTAATCCCGCATTTTGTTTTAACACAAATAAATTAAGTCTGTTGTACATAAAACTCTAGTATATCCCACACATTGCTCAACAATTTTAAGCTAAGGGAACGTCTTTGATGATTTTGATGATTAACTTATTGCTATTTAGTTTAGTCTGTTGCCGTGGCAGCTTTTTGGACATTTCTGTTAGTTTTAATCATTTCTTTCTCATTAAAGTTGCTGAACAATCATGTGAAACTGAGTGAAACTAAGTAAACTGTATAATACAATTACGTTTTGTTTTGGTAACACAATCTTACTGGATAAAACATATTTCTTTCCCATTGGCTCCTGGCTCCATCTATTTGCATATTGGGTGTTTCTTTCCATTTGTTTTACTCACCGTCAGTGTGCTTTCATTCCACCCAGGCTGCCTTTCCTCAGGCGTATGCGTTTCATACATGCTTTATTCAGCTGCCTGATCTTGTGTTGTTGGCTGAAAGTGAAGGTTATCATTCTCCTTGCTGATCAGTGGGGGTTTGTGTTGGCCACTGACCACATTCACACTAAAAGTTAAGGCAAAGTAGTCGGTATCTCTTAATTACCCAATGAAATATGATTAAATTACAATTTCAAAACATAAAAGTAAAATAATTAGAATTTACAAGTTGCACAAACATGCGTTTATATTAACCAAACACAAAAATTATAGCTATTCTAACTCAAGTTTTCATTACACATTACTTAACTTTTTTAAGGCAACCGGTTTCCTCTTTTTTTTATTGTTTTTTAAGTAAATTCAACTTATCTGGGCTTACAGTGTAAATGATTTTTAACAGTATAAGTGCTTTGGAAAAGTTTTCCTGTAGCTCTGCTGTCAGTTTTGATATTGAATCCCAGTGTGTCTCCTCTCAGGTATACGCAGTGTTAAAGGCTTGTTGCCGTCAAGTATGTGCAGTAATATCAGTATTTTGACCGTGTTCTTGTACTGATTCTGTCAGCCCCTCTCAGGTATATACAATGTTTAGTATAGTTGGTTCAAGAAAGTGGCAGCCTGTTTCTAAGGTCTAGGCCAGTGATCATCAGTCCTGTTCCTGGAGATCTACTTTTCTGCAAAGTTCAGTACCTGCCTGTATCCACTGGCTGCCTGTCCACTGGTTTTTTAGATGAGCGTTGAAATTTAATGCTGGATATCTCCAGGATCAGGGTTGGTGAAAGCTGGTCTAGGCTATATTTCATTTGAGTTGTTTAGATGTTTAGATACTTGGTGATTTCATTTTAGAGCAACATTTTGGCTAAATACGAAATAAGCTATTAGGAGTTTGTAAAGTTTTAGCATAGTCTGTCTTGTAACTGCTGACCAATTTACTTAACTATCAGTATTTTGACAGTGTTATGTTGAGTCTGATAGAGATAAAGTGGAAGGGCTGCATCTGGTTGCATGTTTTATTGAAGGATGAAAAAACAAAATGTGAGAAAAATTGTGGGATATGGACCCTTTAAAATCTCCATCTGACCTTAGGCAGTAGGGTGGGGAGGTGTTCCTTCCTTTCATTTGGCTTGTGTGAGATCCAGCGCCGGATGGCCTGGAGCAGCATTTCCTCCTGTTTGACTTTCAGGTTGTCCTTCTCGATGATGCTGCTCAGCTGCGTCAGCGACAGCTCCAGGAACTCCTCGGACACGCGCACCACCTCTTCAAAGTTGTTGAGGATGAACAGGTAGGCTTTCTGCTGCAGCTGGCAGAACGAGTAGAACTCAGCAAACACCCAGATGCCGATGCAGTTCTCCTCACACAGCTGGTCCTCCAGGAACTGGCAGCAGGCGTGCACAACGTCCATGACGGCCAGGTAGTCAGCGGCAACCAGCAGCTCCTGTATGTTCTCCTCGGTTATGGTGATGGAGCCCGTGTACACGTATTCAATAATAAGGCCCATCATCTCAGGAGAGACTCCAGGGATGTTATAGACGCGCTTCTCTGCAGGGCTCCAAACGCTGCTGAACAGCCTCCTGAAGAGGAAGCATACAGGTCATAATCATAGTCATAATCATAGTTGGAACTAGAAAAGTGCAGTTCCTGAGGAAAATACAGGGTGACTGCGCAGCTTAAGCAGTTGCTAGGCGGTTGCTATGGTGCTATATAGTTGCTAGTGTGTTGCTAAGTGATATTGTTATATTGTATGATATTGTATTGTTGTGACTGTTGTGTCTTTTTTCTGAATTTATACAAACACTTTTATTTTATAGTAAATTAGTTTCGGCTAGTTTATGTTTATGAACAGAGACCTATAGATGCAGTTTAGTAAAGGAAAACTCATTTGTGAATCTGAGTTTAAAGCAAGTTTTTATTAAACTTAAACATGTAACTAAGTTGCAAATCAATATCAAATATTAAAATTGCCTTCAGTGTTTTGTGCTTATGATAATTTTAATAGACGTCAGCGTCAGACTAGTTAATGACATTCTTTTAAAAGACTGGTTTACCAAGAGTGACACTGGAGTATTTTTACCTAAAATGAGTTAATGAAGTAAGAGTCTTGTTATAAAAACAGTAATAGGACATTAGTCATAATTAATCTTTTAGTACTTTTACTTTCGATACTTAGGTACATTTGAAGGCGAATACTTTCGTACTTTTACTCAAGTGGAGGTCTAAAGGGAGGAACTTCTACTTTTACTGGAGTAATATTTTACCTTGGGAATCTCTACTTTAACTCAAGTACATCATTTGTGCACCGTGTCCACCACTGCTTTTTACTGGGCTACATCACCATAGGAACTTATGGTCCAGCATCATAAACAGCTCTTGGACCAATCAGGGACAGCCTTCTGACCAATCAATTATTTATTTATTTTTTCTTTGTAGTTTTGGTTTTGCTCAGTATTTCGTCTCATTAAATAATAACTAATATTAACGAAATAACAGTTTAATTACACAATATAAAGAACTGACCCAATATATTAGTCATATGTTAGTTTGGACACATGATTTTAATCTAATGTGATTTGATTGTCCTTTATGGAAATTTCCATTGTCCTGATTTCCTGATGGGTTAATATTTACTTTTGAGGAAAGACAGTAAAGAACACTTGACTTGATGTGACTGTGTAGTGTATCATGTGATCATTTTACAGTCTCTTCATGTCGAGCTGGATGTGCAGCTGTTCTTTAGACTCTGACCTGAAATAGGAGCTACAGCCACACAGGACGATTTTGTGAGCGTTGAATTCAACGCCGTCCACCTGGATGAGAACATCGCAGAGTTCTCCGTCCAGCCGGAGCTGGTTGAAGTTTTTAAGGGCTGTAGCTCTCATTTCTCCCTCAGCCTGACTCCCCCCGAAGGACGTGGACGCCTGCTCCTGCTCACTCATTCTCACCGCAGTGGGACAGAAAATCAAATCAAATCAAATATGCTTTGTTGGCAGGACAGGATATGAGACCTATGTTACCAAAGCTGTAAATACATGTTAAATTGAATTATTATTAAATATAAATGAACAGAAATAAATTAATTAACATAATAATAATAATAATAATAATAATAATAATAATAATAATTGTACAGTTCTCCGTCAATGTACTCGGGGAGTGTTATTGATGTTAACAGTCAGCTAAACTGTTCTCATCACTAAGTCCTCAAAGGAACTGTAATTGGTAGGTTTAATGACGAAAAGTGTGAAACTACAAAAACAATATAGAATTTGAATGAATAGTGACTCTGAATATCGTGTTTACATTCACATAAAGTTAGTCTAAACTAACAAACAACAAAGGAATAAACTAGAAAGGTAAACAGAGATCAACGCTGAATAGAGATTAACTAGAAGACATTCTCGCTGACGGGACCAGAAGTAGTTACACAGACCACGGTAAAGTTAGTTTTATTTTCGATATTCGTCTTGAAAAATCATGCACTTCTAGACCACGCCTATGCACACGCATTTGTTTTCCTCCAAAGCGTTTCAGTGCATTTAAATACATATTTTAATTGTTCGTGCTAACAATAGACACCGTCAGACGATAAAAAGTCAATAGCTCCATAAACACTGTGTCCATGCACATCTGAATAATTGTGTTATTTGCTCTAAATTATGGTTAGAAACACAAACCACTTTAATTTAGAAAACGGACTTTGAATAAACCTGTAACTAAAATGTACTTGCCAATACTTGTCCTAAGACATTAGCAGTCTTGAAGGTTCAATAGATCCTTAACCATCTATATTAGTTTAAAAAATGAGAGTGTAGAAAAGAAAACGTCTTATTTAAGTGGATCACTTTTTTAAATCCATCAAAAACTCAGTGAATCCGATTTGTTATTTTTTCCATTTTCAATTTCGACATTTTAGACATTGAACATTTAAAATACTGCTTAGATTCAAAATGCAGCATTCACTGCAATTAATACAGCTGAAATGCTTTTGAAGGTTAAAATACAAATATTAATATAAAATAATTCTTGCAGTACATTAAAAATTCAAAAGTTGTGTATGATTGCTGAAACCTAACTGCAGCATACACAATTGTTTGTAGTGTTGGGTGTAATACAGCTGAAATATTATTGAAATTCAAAATGTATAAAAATTAATAAAAAGTAGTTACAGCAATATACCCAAAATCCAAAGGCTGTGCATCATTGCTGACACCTTGGTGCACCATACACAGCTGTTTTTAATGTTGTAAATAATGCAGCTGAAATATTATTGAAATTCAAAATCTATAAAAATTAATAAAAAGTAGTTACAGCAATATATCAAAAATCCAAAGGCTGTGCATCATTGCTGACACTGCACTGCACCATACACAGCTTTTTTTTATTTGTATATAATTTAGCTGAAATAGCTTTATACTTTGTATTAATGTTTATGTATTTTGAATTTCAATAGCATTTCAACCACATTACATACATCACTAAAATGGTTCAGCAAGATGCCAGCAATCATACACAACTTTTGGATTTTGAATGTTCTGCAATAATTACTTTATATTAAAATTTGTATTTTAACCTTCAAAAGCATTTCAGCTGCATTAATTGCAGTGAATGCTGCATTTTGAATCTAAGCAGTATTTTAGCTACATTACATCCTCAAGTGACATTCAAAGTTTGTGTGTCATTACTGAAACATATCTGCACCAAACACTGCTGACTTAAATGTTCAATGTCTAAAATGTTATCGAACACAATTATTCAGATGTTCATGGACACAGTGTTTATGGAGCTATTGACTTTTTATCGTCTGACGGTGTCTATTGTTAGCACGAACAATTAAAATATGTATTTAAATGCACTGAAACGCTTTGGAGGAAAACAAAGGCGTGTCCGTGGATGTGGGCGTGGTCTAGAAGTGCATGATTTTTCTTCCGACTGAAAAACTTGTCTCAGTTCTATGGTATTAACACAAAATAACGGTACGTTAAATGTCACCCAAACTGTAAAAGAACAGGTGTGCATCACTCTCTCTGGCCGTACTGTCATGAATATGTAAGTCTTTACTGACCACCGTAGTCCGATCAAATGTTATTAGCGCCGAAAAGACGAATATCGAAAATAAAACTAACTTTACCGTGGTGTTACACAGCGATGATATGAAAGGCTGCTTTAAAACATCTGCTTGAGTAATTAGATTAAATAATAGACACCATTTATACATAAAAACATACCGATAACGTCAAATTTAGCGAGCAGGAAACAGCAGATACGAATGACCAGTATCAGTAACTGCCTACCGTCTTAAAAATAAACAATCAACTGTATAATTGAATCTAAACAGTGAAAGAACGCTTGGAACTTAGAATCCAGTAGACAGACCTGTAGCATCTTCCCGTTCAGTTTCTGTCCTCCTTTAATAAAAACTGCTGCATGTATGAAGGAGAAGGACAGAAACTCACCCTGTAGCTGCTGTTTCAGTGAACGCTGTGTTTCCAGTACAGCCATCTGGCCGCTTTGGGTACAAATACATTCCAAATGTGTTTATCAAATATATTTTTGCGACGTATGAAAATGGCCAAAAATGCGTTTGTTGAATATTTTGGTGCAAATGCGTTTCTTAGTATTTGTGTGTAATAAAGGCCACAGATGTAACTAAACAGCACTGCTGCGATCTGCGCTGTGCTTCGTATTAACCATGTATGAATGCAGTAAAACACACAGAATGTATTTCAGATGAACAGGATATGAAATCATCCCTGCACAGAAGGATTTTTCAGACCGGACAAATGTGTGATTGTTGCTGTTTGAAAGATTTCCATCCATCGCTGCGCTTTGAAGTGGACATTTAGCTGAATGTGAGAGCGGTGAGTGCTGGTTTCGGCCCATGTGACTCAGAAAGAGCCGGAAATTAAATGAGCCGCTGTGTTTCGTAAACAGCGCGGTTGAGTTTGAGCGCAGAGAGCATCGATTAGTGAGCGCTGAGTGCTGATTTCCGCCTCTGTCTTAATAGATAAAGAGTAATGTAGTAAATATCAGCAGCATATTTAATAAGAGTGATGAATTCCACACTGAGCACAGTGAATGTAAATGTGTGAAAAACAGCAAATCCCACAAAAACGCAATACAACGTGACGTCACCACGCACGAACAGCCACTATAAATGGGGTGATCAGGTTTTCCGTCTATGGTGAGTGAATGAAAGTAACTCATATTGACCTCAGACGGCGATTAGATTTAAATATCCAATCATTTACAACATCAACACTAAATTATTAAAGTCTGAAAAACAGATTATTTTGTCGTTTCCCCCGTATCAGCCCACCGAAGTGCATACTGGGAAACGTCACTGGAGCCCATGGAGACCCGTGAACGTAGCGCTGAGACTCAGTATGAAGTAAAGAAGGGAACCAGTTAATGTTCATCTTATAAGACATTAGTAACGACCTTATAACCGGCGCTTTGTCGGTCTACTGGGTAGATTAATAACCAATCCGGGTCCGCAGGCTGAGAACACGTTGTGAAATGGTCAAAAAATAACCTTAAAAAGGTGATTGAATCATGTTTGGTTGTAAAAGGGTCTAAAATGCATCTGTGGGTGGGTTATTGATCATCCGGGTCCGCAGGCTGAGAATAAGCGGGTTTAAATATATTTGCACACATTGGGAAATAATGAAGGTTGAACAGCAGCTTTTAAACTGCACCTTAAATATTATTTACTAAAGAACTTACTAGAGAACTCACCTAAAACTAGGAATATATGTAGGTCCAGGGCCAGATCATGGTCTGATGAGGACAAGCTGATTATTAAAGATAAAAAAATTATTTTGATTACTTTAAAAAAAGTGACAGGTGCAGGTTGTGCGGCCCTTTTCAGGTATTTTTTTTATCTAATTTTTTATGATAATACAATTATACATTTATAATAATCAGGCATCCTCCTCCTGATGGACAGTGGCCACTCAGACACTCAGACACATCCACCAGAACCTCACCTGCTGAAACTCACACACAAACACACACATTGTAAAGGAATTACAAACAAAAACATTCACAAACCTCAATTACCAAAATGTTGGAATGTATTTGTGTGTGTATAAGAGGACATTAGGCGTGATGTGGACGAGAAGACGGGGCCAAATGATCAGATCAGGTAAAGTGACCATTTACAGAATCTCTGACTCACCTGTGCCTTTTTCCACACTAGACAGCGTAAAGTTCTGGACCTTTATTTAGTTTTTATTACTTCATTTATTCCTACCCAACAAAGAAATATCAGTGTCTCTGTGTTCTGGATTTGTTTGTACTGTCCTTAATGACCAGTTTAGGCACTTTTCTCCCTTCATAGCTGTAGAAACTTTAGAATTACACCAGCAGAGAAAGAGGAGAATAGTAGAAATGAAAGAGGCAAAGTCTCTCCCAGAAAGCACTGCAGCTGTTCACGTAACCAATGCCACTGTTATCACACCAGTCTTGGAGCCAACAGTGGAGGTCAGAGAGTCTGCTGAACACTTGGCGTGCTCTCCTGTAGGTGGGCAGACATCCTGAGATGACAATCCTGGCTTCTGTACTCTACTTAACTGTTTCTAGAAGTGATCCGAAACGCTCCTCGAGGACTTTGTGGGATGAGATGCGGTTAACCCCTGCGTGAATGACCACAGTGACAATGAGACCAGAGAGCCTAGAAAACAAGAGACAGCAGCATTAGCTCAAGAGCCAGAGCCTTTCAGATATTTTAAGATGGAGTCTCTGGTTATTAAACACCATCTTGAGTTGCAGTCTGAGGAGCTGAGGGCTTGAGGGCAGTTGCTGGAGGTGAAATTGTTTAACAAAACAACATAACTTGAAAGATTAAAGATAAAACTGTTCAAATATAATAAAGAGTGAATGAGCAAAAACACAGACGACCTGTTTAATTTACTCCTCATACCAAAGATAGAAAGAT